TGTCCCTTTCAGAAGGGAATTGCCCACTACGTTCTGGTGCCAGAGTACCTGGGGCAGAGCAGGGTCTGGCCCTGGGGGTCACATGAGGCAGAGCAAAGCTGTGGTTTCTCACGTGCTGCTGGTGCTGTAGCGCTTGTCCCTGTGAATAATCAGGTGGGGAAACAGATCTGGCTGAAAAATAGCCCAGGTGTTAAATGTGCGTACATGCTGTGCATCTATTGCTATACAGTCGCACTACGTCAGGTCTGCAGTGCTGCTCGCTCTGTATTTGGGCAAGTATGTGCACAACATTGGGCAGTCTGGGTGTGGACAGGGGTGACCAGGGCAGATGAGGGAGGGTGAATAGGGAAGCCTTTAAATTAGACCTGCTATTTACTGAATGAAAACTGAATTTTTTTTTTGCCTGGTTCAGATTGCTGGCCAGTTATGACAGAGGTGGTTGCTCCTAAGGTGGTGGTAGCTTTTTAAATAAAAGGACTGCATCGAATTCCCTTTCTGCTCTAGTCTTAAGTTTTATTTTGGCTTGAAAGGAAATAGCAGAAATGCTGGTGAGAGAGTTGCAGTATAAATAGCCAGTTGTGCTTTTTGGGTAGCACATGAGGGGAATCTTAAAGAAATCAGCCCTCAGGTGCTCGCTGATCAAATGGGAAAAGCTTGAGCTTTGGTTTGCAAGCCTGCTCTGATGTTAGTAAATCAGTCCTTGCCTTTGCCAAGAAGGATTGAGTATATAATGCACAAAATAAGTTAAATGCCTTAAGAATTATTAAAGGATCATAAAAAGCAGTGTGTAAAGTCTAAAGACTCTGGTTTCCATTAAAAAGAAGGGTGCTATTTGGACACAGGGAGATGGGGGCAGTGCATGGGGGCGGCTTGCTGAGTGCTGCAACTCCTGCACGGGAATGTGTAGATTTATTCACTGAACTGTAAGAGCATTTACTTCTGTGCAGCTTGCAATGGCCGTGAGCATTGAACTGTGTTGCTCTTCCCATTCACTCAGGTATTTTTCAGCATTGTCAAAAGGCAAGACCCTTCCTGTGAAGGAGCGGCTTGAATTGCCTTTAGCAACAGAGAGGACAGATGCTGGTTTGACCCTAGGACTCCTTAAAGTCTTGCACAAACAGGTACAAAATGGCCTTTATCAAATGCACAATGCTATCGAGGAATGCTGATGTGCTGGGGAGACTGATTGTCAAGTATTTGATGTATTTTTGGGAGGGACTGTGTTCTTAGTTTTGTTCTGGTTTTCGGAGTTCCTGTTGTGATACCACAATTTCGTTTAAAGCTTTCTTCCAAAGGCATGGTGAATGTTGCAGAACTGCGGGAAAAATGGAAGGACTTGTGCTTGCCAGAGGAGCAGCTGGAAGCTATCCTGCAGCTGGGCGACTTTGGCGAGGAGGTGGAGTGGATGAAGGTCCTGGCGCTTGGGTGCAGCATACTCGGCAAGGTACGTACACAGCAGGAGCCCTCATACACAACTGGTCGATTATGATCATGTATGAAGTTGACCATAAAACAGTTAATGCAAACGGACTCTGGGGAATGGTGACTGCTTTTGCAGCAGCTGGCAAAGTAGCTGCATGTTTACTTCTGTCCCTCATCAGGTTTTGGTCAGGGGAGCTTAACCAGAAAGAGGCATCTAAGTCCTCAGTTTACTGGGATGGCACCAGAAAAGCAAGCGTGCCCACAGGGAGCTTGGACCATGAGGGAGAGGGTGATAGAGGAATGATGCTTATGGCATCAGTATAAATGTTGACAGAGGGGAACTGGAGGGAGAAATTAAAACATCAATTTTTCATTGATTCTGTAGTCAATTAAATTTTCACAGAATCAGTTAATGTTACTAAATCTACAGTTAATTCTTTTAATGTCAGTAATAAAAGCTCAGCAGAGCATTTCAGCAGAATGACATTATAAAATGCACTAAGCTGATGTTCTTGTGAAGTATGGTATTGTAAATGTCTTCTACAGTAGGGAAGAAGGGGTACTAAAAGAAAATACATGTTAAATAATATCTTGAGAATGTTGCCATATCTGGAAGCCCTGAATATTAACCTGGCCTGGCATTGCAATCGCATATATGTTACTCGTTTCAACTGTGTATTTCTTGATTCCAATCCCACTCCCAACATGATTTTGTAGTTTGGGTTCTTAATTTAAAAAAACGTAACAGCAATGTTACTTATTTAAAAAACAAAACCAAGAAACACCCCAACCATAAAAAAACCAAACCGAAACCAGAATCACAGGAACATCTTTCACGAGAAAACTAAACAGTCTGCATGTACCTCTATCTATCCATAATTTCAGATATTAAGTGAAAGATTTTATTTCTGCTCTATATATTGAAAACTAAACCTAAGTTTTTTAAACAAGAGAGGAAGACGCGCACAAGAAAATCATATTTCTTTTCCTGCAGCTGTAAATGGTGCTCATAGTTGAACAGGGTCACAGGTAAGATGGGAGAGTAGACAAGTATGAGCTTCTTAAAAACACTAGTCATCTGAAGTATCTTTTTGTAAGGCACTGATGTGTTTTTACAGCCAAGAGAAAAGACTAAACTGCCTCTGAGAGGTGGGGAGGTCGATGTGAATAACTTTGCTGTGTTGGGGGGAGCGAGAGGGGCAGGAGGAGCAGGAATGGCAGTAGTGCAGTATAGAACTGCGGAGGCTGGAAGGCCGTGCCGAGTCTGCCGTGGTGTAGGCAGCTGCTGCTCCTTCCTCAGAGAGGCCTCCCAGCGAGGAACTGCATTGGGTAAAACTGCAAAGGGACTATAAAATGACACTCCTCCAGCCCGTGTCCTAGATCTTCAACAGATACTGCGTTTATTTTAAAAGTTGCTCTTCTACTGTTAGGAAGTACTTACGTTTTTTACAAAGTCATTGATTGCTTACTAATGAAGAGGTAAGGATAAATTTTGAAAAAGTTATAGCTAAAACATTACAACCTGGGTTAAAAAGGCCTGTGTGTGGTTTTTTTTCCTTTTTGTTCTTTTGTTTCTTTGTTTTAATGGCATCCAGCCAGCCTTTGACTCAATGAAGCTCCATGCTGAATTCAGCTCCATGCTGAATTTTTCCACACGTTTACCTGTGTAGCGCAGAATGGATAAGGCACCAGATTAGACATTGTATTGAATAAAGGATATTTTTTAAGTATATTTGGAATTAATACTTTGGGGCATGTTTGTTCTAAAGGGAACTCGAATGTTATTTGCCTTTGAGTAAATTGAAATATTCTTTAAATGCTTTTTGCCTCAGTGCTCTCTCTACTAACTACTAATACGGAATTTGCATTCAAAAATATTAAATATCAGCATTTCCTAGAAATTAATATAATCGGATACTATGTCATAGTAAAAAATCATCTAAACTGTATGAATTTTCTGGGTTTTGTAGATACGTCCATCTTAACTGCTGCTGAGAATTCATTTAGATCCATTGAGATAAGATATGTAAACACATACACGTACATACGTATAGCTAGGTATAGTGATGTCTCTCTCAGCTTTTACAGTAGCAGAATAGAGCAAGCTGCCATACTGGAGATAGGGTTCAGACTGCCCTATACAATCTTTAAACATTAGAGGATTTTGTTATTTTTTACTCCTGTGTCTAATAGAACGTCATTATTATTTCTGTTCCTGCACCTGCACTGGTGGGCAAATTTGGGGTTGAAAGCCAGGTAACGATGGTGAAGCCTTCATCTCATTTGCACTCACTTTTAGTGGCTTACAGTGTGGATTTTGTCATGGTATGTGAAGGATGTTCATGGCTCTGACACTGTCCCTCTCATTTCTTGGCTGAACCCTCCCCACAGTCCTTACTGAGTTCCATGAAACACGCTTGTGAAATCTTAACAAGGGACCCAGAAGGAGGAGCAGCCAGCGTTCCCTTTGAAACCTTCTCGTTCCTCTACTCCTATCTGGCCGGTATCGATGGAGAGATACCAGAGGATAAAACTGAAGCATTCCTCTGCAAAATTAAAGAACAAGCGTAAGTAAAAATCCATGCGTGGAATTTTGACGTGTGGATCACCCCTGGGTCCTCCATAAACCTTTAATTTCAGATGAATAATCTGTCTTCACTTTGGGAATAGCCATGATGACTGAAGTAAAGGTTGACTGAGGGTGTACCAAAAGTGTACATAGTTGTTTCTTGTTAAGTGGTCAACATCAGGGTTTGAACTGTTACATGATAAATTGTTATTTATTCGTCTTTCTTTGAAATATTAAAGTAACAGCCTGGTGGTATAATTTTCCCTGTAGGAAGCAAATATATACAGGTTTTTTATCATCTGCATATTACAGGTACCAGCAGCATCTTCTGGGTTGCTCTTTTGATGTAACATAGATCATAAATGAAAGAGAGAAACTGGGATTTCCCACTTGATATCTGAATTTTCTATCATGTTTTTTCTGAATTACTTCTCCCTATAAATTTTCTCGAGAAAACATTTAGAATGTACTTAGTCTTAAATGATTTAGCTCTTCAGTTTTTGTAGTATTAGTTATGGTAAATTGTCCTCCTTGGAATAGTCTTTGTGTCTGTTGCCCTCAGTAAATATAAAGGATAAAGACAAGACATAGTCCCACCTGAATAGTTCATCCTGTTTTGGTGTTTTTACCAATTTGGGGTGGCTGGGTACCTTTCTAGTCTCTTCTGCTTGCCCTGAGGTTGGTTTATGGTTTGGTGTCAGTCAGCCATGCACTAATGCAGTTCTTCACAGCAGGAGCTGTGCGGGTTGAAGGTTAAGCTAAAACTCCCTGCCTGGCTCTGTTTTGCCGTCAACAACAGCTGCATTCAGGTCTTTTCTGTGCTGTTGTGTGATCTTTGGCTTGCTTCATAATGAAGGGGCAACCCCATTCTCACCTCTTGAGTTCGTCGAGTAGTTTGTTAGCAAATGATGAACCTCTGTGAATGACACATCTCTGCTATACCAAGGCAAGGTAGTTATTTGTAGCACTTGATTAGTGTGGTATCAAAGGTCTTACTGCCAAAATTGCATACAATGTGCTCTGGGGCAGGCAGTAAGACTGGACACAAAGAGAATGTGCTAGTTACCTTAACAGTAC